CATTTTACGTGGCAGGTGCAAGGAATCGGAGACTTTGCGAATTTCGTGGCAGGCACAGTGTTTTGTGGACGTTGCAAAAACGTTGGCAGGCGTGTGTCATTCGCAGGACTGCGTTTCACGTGGCAGGCGCAGGGAATCCGCACCATGGATGCGATATTTTGAGGTGAAACGGCTGAATTCGTGAGAGGGGTCGCATTTTTGGAATTTGAACTTGAGGATGCTTTTGCGTGGCCAGTGCAGCATTTCGTATGACCTGCAGGCATGATTTCGTGGCAGGCACAGCATTTCTGAACCACCGCATTTCCAAATTTGCGAAAGCCTCGTGCAATTTGCTCATTTTGGATCTCCGATGTGTAGATTTCGTGGCAGGCGCAGCACTTTGTGAATCTCGATGTGCAGATTTCGTGGCAGGCGCAGCCCTTTGTGAATCTCGATGGGCAGATTGCGTGGCAGGCGCAGCACTTTGTGAATCTCGATGTGCAGATTTCGTGGCCGGCGCAGCACTTTGTGAATCTAGATGTGCAGATTGCGTGGCCGGCGCAGCACTTTGTGAATCTCGATGTGCAGATTTCGTGGCAGGCGCAGCACTTGCTGAGTCTGGAAGTGCAGATTTCGTGGCCGGTGCAGCACTTTGTGAATCTCGATGTGCAGATTTCGTAGCAGGCACAGCACTTTGTGAATCTCAATGTGCAGATTTCGTGGCAGGCGCAGTACTTTGTGAACCTCGATGTGCAGATTTCGTGGCAGGCGCGGTACATTGTCAACTGCGAAATACGCTTATGTACTCGCCTATGTGCTCCCAGATTTGTGCTTGTATGTGCTCTCACATTTGTGCTCTCCGATGTGTGCTCTCATGTGCTCTCATATGTGCTCCCATATGCTCTCATATGTGTGCTCTCATTTGTGCTCGTGAATCTCGATGTGCAGATGTTCTTGAAGGAATTTGTATTTCACTGAACTTGCCGTTTTGGAAGATGTTCTTTACACTATTTGGGGTCCCTTGCCGGTGTAATTTTTCTTTGGATCCGTGCAGCACTGCAGGTGTCGGATCCAGAGTGATCGCGAATCATAAGGTTGGATTCAGGGAAGGGTAGAAACACAATTAAGCTGTTTTGTGTTTCCCTTCCCCAAGGAATATTGACCCTAAATCTGACTAAGGGACAGGGGTGAAGGACTCTGAACTTACAGATTCAGTGCTATAGAAGGGCCTGATTCTTGCGGTTAAAACAGATCCTTTAAACGGAATCCCCAAGGGTCAAGGTAGGGACCTGTCACTGAGGTCATTCACTGGCTCTCGTTTGTTTCACGCAATTGCGCAACTGCGAAACGAACGATCAGGAGGAACTTCCAGCCTTTGAGGATGTGACCGTCCGGCACTGAGCGAACGTGATGCGGGGATGGTTCATGTCCTAAAAGAGGTACACACCACAGGTGCTGAACCACAGGGTTTGGTGCTGAACCACAGGTCTTGGCCGTGCACGTTTCCAAGTGTTCATCCCACACTATAGCTTATAGCTTGCCATCCGGGCCCAGGGCAAGTCTGCGATTTCCAAGCCTGTCACAGGGGATGTTCAATGTTTGTGCTGCCAAGATCTGACGAGGTCGTGGTCAGCTGTGGTGTTCGAGTCAAAACTCAGAAGAATCATGAAAAGTGGCTGTCACCCGCAAGGAGGTTGGTAACAGGATTTGGATAGATGTGGTTCATTTCGGATCATTTCCACATGGGATTCAGTTGCCTGCTCGGGTTCACCGTTACGCCATGTTACGCCCACCATCGGCGGACCAGGAGGTGGCTTCTCCAGAGGACCTCTCCATCGGTGTCTGGGGCCGCATTCGTGCGGCATGGGCGGTGAAGTGGTTGACCTGGTGTTGTGATGTTTCCGTATGATTAAATCCCCTTCTTGAGGATATGTGTTTGTTTGTTTTCCAGGTTCCTTAAGGTCATCCAAGTTGATGTGCCGTTGTTGGGTTTTCCCCGCTGACAGGTTCGGAGTTTCGATCATGTGAGACATTTTGAGACGGACACTGTTGGTTTGTGGGAGGCCCAGTACGATCGGCAGACTATCAGCAAGTGATTCCACACTGCAAGCCAGGAAGCTAGCTATGTTTCATCAGAGGTGAATGATGTGAGGAGCTTTAGATGTGCCTTGGGTGTTTTTCTCTTTAGAAGTGCCCCAGCCAATAAGTGAGCACTTCTGGCTGGCAGTTTGTCAACACCCGCCTCAAGTAAGAGCATTCTCCGCAGCCCTGTGGCCTCGGGTCATTTGGGCAACGAAAGACGACCGGTGTTTTTTGCAACTCACAACTCGACTGTTTGGAATCTTCGGTTTGAACACGGTGACCCGTTTTTTCTCCTTTGAGGGGTCCTGGTGCTCATCCAATCCAAATCACCAAGTTGATCACAGGAACCTTGGAAGCCCTCTAGTAAGCATGACTAGCGGGATCTAGCGCGTCTTGGTGTGTTTTGGTCGTTCCATTCTGAGTCTTGCCCCGGAACACGGTGCTTCTTCGGCGTCGGCTTCAAGGTGATCGGGTGCTGGTGCGCAAGTGCACACAAGGAGAAGTGACCGGATTGTGCAAAGCCCAGTTGACAAGTGATGTACATTGAGGTGCCATGTAGAGGGGGCCTTTGGTTCAGGTGAGAGTGCCTCAGTAGTGATTAGTGAACGCTTGTTTCTAGATGTTTACTTGATGTCACAGACTGAGTCAATGGTCCTTACTGCTCTCTGAAGATGTTCACTTCCGGACCGATGGAAGTCCTACCAGCCACGACTTCTCTTACCAGGCGCCCTTGTGGCTTCCCCAATGGGGTGGAGGTGACCCTGGAGAACGGCCAGAGGAGCGGCGCTTGGGGAAGCTCTAGGGAAGCGAGGGTCTTTGCGTGGTGGGAAGTGGCGAGTCGTCTGAAAACGCAGAGGATCTGGGTTGGATTAAAGCCAAAATGGACCCCTGGCACCCAGTGATCCTGGTGTTTTGGCTGTGGCTAGTGTTCGGAACAGCTTGGCACCCGTTCTCCAAACTAAGTGGGTGTATAATTGTGTATAGTTTAATTCAGAGACCCCCAACCAATGGCCAATGCAACCAATGGTAGACCGGGTCTATTTCCCTTCTCCGAACTCGTTCGCCGGCGCTTCGGTCTCCCGATGTGGCCCGAGCCGGTGATACGGTGGCCGATGCCGATCGCCGCGGTGAGCTCGGCCGATCATCGTCTTGGCCTGGCGCGTGAATGAGGGAATGGAGTCCTGGGTCCTGAGGGATCATAGCGGGGGGGCTCGGGCATTCTCTCATTCCCTACTAAGCACCAGTCAAAAAAGCTTTGAATGGCTGTTGCTCGCTGAAGTGGATTGGATTGTAATATAGTAATCTGCTGGTGGTGAATGGTGAATCGATGTGAATCGTAGTGTGGGTAGCGTAGCGCAGTCGCCCTTCGAGCATTCAAAGCATTACCCATTGCTGGTGAAATCTTATTACACATCAATTGAGCAATGAATGATAATTACAGTGGTCAAAGACGGTGTTTTGATGTGAACATATGAAAGTATGGAGAGATCATGAAAGTATGAGAGTGTGTGAACATATTGAACCCTGTGAAAGTATGGAGATGCTTGTCCTGTTCCCTGTGGAAGAGATCAAAGCAACACATGTCACACCAATGGTGGTCCGATTCGGACGTCTCGCCCCCCCAAACGGAGCATCAAAGAGAGGAAGCACTTCCTTCCCAACGAGTCAGGGAGCTCAGTCTGACGGTGTTGGAGGGAAGTCTTCCGTGTGCCCCGCAACTTCGGCATGGAGGGCAAGCTGGCATGGCAGGGCTTTCACGGGGCTCTACCCTCCCTCCAATCATGGTTACGTGGATGGAATGGCCAACATATACCATTAGATGTTCATAGATGTTCTAGTACACGACTTGGAATAATATGAATAATCATGGTTGCGTGGATGACATGGACCATTGGATGACCATGTTTTTCTACAAACAAGTCTCAAACTCCACTTCCATGTTTGTCGGAAGGTTCCCATTTCGGCCGACGATCGCTTCTCAGCCAAGAAACCCTAGCGCATTAAAGGTGCTGTCATTCCGGAGGAGGGCTCATGGTCTTTGTTTGTTGCTGACTTGCTGAAGCATATGTCCCATGGACATGAATGCGAACATGGGACACGTAACAACTGAGCGACCACGACAACAGTGGCACCGATTGCTTTTTCCCTACTATACCCAGTCAGTGGAAAACCTGAAAACACTTTTTGGGATCGTTTTGGGGGATTCATGAGGGATTAGATTTAATGTGATTAAATGGAAACTCGTGTACCATCCTGAACCTTAAAATGTGTCTAGGTCTAGGAAACTGAGGGAGTCAACCCCTTCTTCCTGCGTTTTCACCTGGTTGTGTGCCTCGATTCGCCTCGATCCTGTCACAGCGCCACCGTCAGGCTGCATTTGGTCTCAGCTTCCAAATCCAGCGGCGACCGTCCCATCCCACAGTTGAACCTGCAGGCACGGTCTGTTGGTCTCAAGTGGTGCTGATACGGCGGAAGGACGAACGAAAAAGGGTCAGTTGGTTCTTTCACCGGGGATCTTCGCTTGGAGATCAAATCCCTGGTTTTGCCATCGCAAAACTCTATTTCTTTGTTCGCCTTCTGCGGTGAATCCCCTGGTGTGGGTGTTCCCCCAGTTCTTCCCACGTCGCACTGTTCCCAGGAATCCGGTTTTTCAGACCCCCAAGGCTTGTATGGAGCATGTAAGGGCACAAGAAATCGTTAACTCAGAATCGCCGTCCCAGCGGACCGAGACGCATCCAGTCGGCAAGAATCGTTTGGTCAGTCGAAGTCTGACGTGTGTGTGATGTTCATTTGCCTGTGGCGGTTTTGACCGAACCAAAGCCACCATGTACTTGGACAAAGATTGAGTTTCTCAACTGTCCCAATTTTAGACTGATGCACTATGGAAGAGTTTGCCCCAAGCATTGATCCAAGATTGTGGGTATGCATGAGGGTGACGCAGAGCTTTTGGTTCAACCCATTTCACAACCACAACTGGCACCACCAGCGTTTGGAGGTTTTTGGGTTGGACCCACTGCCTGGTTCACGCCTTGGACGCCTTTGGTCCAATCGATGACATGACAATGCACGGTCCAAGGCGCATGACGCGTACAACCACGTCACCACTTCTCAAACAACCATCCGGTTTCAGCCTCATGTACCACAACCAAGGAGCGGCGCCGCGCCGTCTCATCACATCCAATTGCTGATGTTTTTTGCAGCTGCACCCGCACGACCCAGCCCTTGCCACGGTCAACTCCGGTCAGGAGTGCAGGTTCCTTCACAAGTGCATGAAAATGGAAGGGTGGATTTCGCAAGGTGCACTTTGCTCCCTTTCCTCGTTGCAAGCTCATTCGCAGCTCGTGCGATTCACAGGGTTGCTTTCACAGGAGCGGTTGGACGTGCAGTGATGTTTGCTTCCCCGAGGACAGAACTTCTCGTTGATGGTGACTCGTTCAGCATTGGAGACATCAAACGAGCGATATATCTATTGAAGCAGCAGGGAAGGCAAGTTCAAACAAAGGTGTTTACCTGGCCCAGACGGACTGACAACAAAAAATGGGCTCAATTTCTGAAAGAACCCAACATCAGTTTTCAGCCAGTACCGCGTTCAGCTGGGCGCTCGCACGAGCCCACTGATCAAGCGATCATATCAGCCATGTCGCAGGTGTCAAGTCGTCGTGATGTTGGTTGTATTGCATTGCTAACTTCAGATGGAGATTTCATCAGCACCATGATTGATCTTCGATCCGCAGGTGCCAACTTCCTGGTGGTTGTACCTAGGTTCAAAGAGTCAACAGTTGCCAGATATGCAAGTCAAGGTTTCCAAGTGCTTATTTTGGAGCCCGCTGGCAAGAGTACAGATCCAAGGGTTAGAGCTATTCTTCACAGCGATGGGACTGGCTCAGTGCAACTTGCAGACCCATACAAATCATTTGAGAATGTGCAAGGGTCAAGAGCTGTGAGGAGCTTCCTGGCAGATTTGGGATACGCTTGTCAAGAGCGTGTGAGCCACATCAGGGACTTCCTCACACCAGCTTGTGCAAAATTCTGGTTTGCCAACGACTTGGGCTCTCTAACTGTTTTTCCAAGCCAACCTGCAACTCTAGCCGTGCAAGATGTCATGACTCAGCATGCAAAGGCAGGATGTTGGGCACAGTATTTGGAAGACTTTGCGTTTGTTTTGCCATGTTCGACAAGACACAGGCACGGACTGGAGAAGTATGGAAACAGCATAGCACGTGGTGTGTATGCTGGTTCTGGCCCCTTTATATTGAAAGATTCCTCACAGACAACATCTTTGGTGCTGAGGAGGCTCGGCTATCTTGATGACGGTTTGAATGCAGATGAATCTGAAGCAGTGCTTTCCTTTATAAATGCTACCAAAAATAAAGTACAGTTGAGGAAGATGCAATTGCTGCCCAAGCCTTCAGACAACATCAACCAAGCTAAAGGGAAGCTGCGGGCAGCATTTCTCTCCCATGCATGCAAAGGCCTATGGCATATTCCTGGAGACCGCACCAAAGATGTAACAGTCATATTAAGAAAGGCTGGGATCCTTTCGAAACCTGGTGGCCAATACTCCAGGAATGAACTTCTTGATGCAATGAGACTCTATGCCAGAAAGAAGGGGCTACGACCCATGCAAACCTTTAATGGCAATGCCCGGAGCATTCTCAGGGTCGACAGAGCAGATCCTTCCCAGAGAGATGAAATTAGATTCGGACGTTTTAATACTGAGCCTCCATGCAACTGTGGTTAAGATTCTTTGCGCTCATGATGTCGATGTGCACCAAAAGACCTGAATACAGGCAGGCCGCCTGATCACGGAAAATATTGACCTGTTTGATGCGAAAGAATAGCTGACCATGCCTGACATGACCGTCATGCCTGAACATGAGCTTGTTGACCCAATCGCCTTTAAACCACACCAAGCTTACACTGCTATGCTGTGTACGGATGTGTACGGTACGCCGCGGACTCGCAGCTGGTCAGAGATAACCTCACCAAGCAACATACGAGCTGGGTGTTTCCTTGCTATTGATGGGACCCCCCGCGCGACCGTGCAATGCCTGCCACTCCACTCCCTTCCAGCGAGGATCCTCGCTTCAAGCCGCTGGTGCAGCTCAATCGGTCGCATCTTGGCAGAGAGTCCTTATTGTTACACAGGAAGAAGATATACCCAGACACTCCATGGGACTGCCATATATGCCAATCAGTTGGGATGGTTTTGGGGGTCAATGGGGCGGCATATATGGCATACGTGGAGTGTCTGGGATTTGGTACCCCCGAAATGTCATTGATTTGTCCTGTTTGTGTGACTGCAACGGTTTGAAAACCTGTTTTGTGTGACTGCAACGGTTTGAAAGCCATTTATTGGTCCTGTTTTGTGTGACTGCAACCGTTGGAATTCTGTGTATCATATAGTAATATATATATGTATCAGCAAGTGGATTTTCCTAGAAAACAGTGCATACTATTGTTATCCTAGTTTCCTTGAGCATATATTGTATCATGTTCATTGGGTCGCGTTGATTGCGCTACTCCAAACTGACGAGCGCTCAGTCGCACTCCTCGTCCAGGTGGACGGTGGACGGGTCTCACTTCGAGGACTTCCCTCACCAGCCAGAGGCCACGGAGGGATTCCTCAGGTATACTGCCAATGCGCTGGATCGGGCGACAGGGGACCCTCGGAATATAACTGGCTTGTTCCTCCTCTTTGCTGTCTGTTTTCCTCTCTTCCTATTCTGGATCGGGCACAGCCGATCAGTTGGAGGACGGGTCTTGGGACGTCGGATCGCCGAGGTCGATGCCGTGTGTGACAGTCCACCTACGTGAGGTCGATCTTGGACCCCCATCGATGTTGGATTCGAATGCCGTTTCGGTGCATGAGATTTGATTGGTTTTTGGTGTGAGTTGAGTTGGACTCCAGTTTTTGAAACATATCATTGATTGATGGTCTTGTTACATGTTCAAAAATAGGTTGCTGAGGCTTATTTAACAAGCTAAGTTTCTTCTTTGGATGGCCTGGTTCCTACGATTGTTTTTTAGATGGCATGTTCTGCTGTTCACCATCCACGTCAGGCTTAGACGAGAAGGAGTATACAGTATCACTGTCACTGGTTGGTCCCGGCTGGCAGCCTTTGCCTCAGCCCACGACAGGCCAACCCCGGCTCCTTCGTGGTCTCTCTGAACGCTTGCGCCAGCCTCATGTGACAAAGATGTTTTCGGGGATGGTCGAGATGTTTGGATGCATCAAAAAATTAGAATAAAGCTGGGAAAATCAACCATTTAAGGCGAAGCTGGCCAAACTGTCGGAGCTGGGTTGCCAGTTTTCGCACAAGGGCTTGTGGGCTACAGGCTACAGCACTAGAGCACTCAATGGAGCTGGAGACACGACGAAGCCCAATCAACCAAACGCCCGCTCAGTCTTCATAGAGTCTAAGAGGTCAGTTTTGCAGCAACTAGGGTTGTCCATGGCGACACGTCCAATACTTCAGGCAGACAAAAGTTTACGGTTGTTAGCCTTCTTACAAAACACTCTGAGGTCAGCGGCGGATCGAAT